GAGTTTGGATGTAAATGGCAGCAGGGTCTAAGGTTGTTCAGGTCGGTGTGGTCCAGGGAGGGTTTTTTGAGTATGGTGGTGATGTGCGCGTGCTTTAGAGGGGAGGGGAATGCGCCAGTAGAGAGGGAGAGATTTAAGATATGGGTGAGGGAGCGTAGGATGGAGGAGGAGGGTGCCCGTAGGAGTTGTGTGGGGACAGGGTCAAGGGGGCAGGTGGTGAGGCGGGCTGCGGAGAAAACCTTAGTGACCTCTTCAGTGGTAGCAAGGTCAAAGGAGTGGAGTGTTGGGGGGGGGGGTTTTAGTGTGCGGGGTGTTAGGTGGGGGTCTGGGCAGTTGCAAGGTCAGATGAGGGGAGTGTTGAGGGGGTTATCATGGAAGGGAGGCTAGGTGGGGTGGAAGTCTGAGCTTTGGCGATGTAACTACGAATTGCGTCGATCTTGTTTTGGAAGTGGTTAGCAATCTCGTGGGCGGTGAGTGAGGTAGTGGGTGGAGGTGGGGGAAGAGAGAGTAGGGAGTTAAAAGTGGAGAAGAGCCGGCGAGGACTGGAGGAGAGGGTATTGATGAGGGTTACGAAGTAGGCTTGTTTTGGCAGCGTGGAGGAAGGAGGTGTAGGTAAGGAAGGCAGATTTTGTATAGGGTGAAGGCTTGTTGGGACCTGGTTTTGGGCCATAATCGCTCCAGCACACAACTGCGTCATTTAAGAATCTTGGTGTGGTCGTTCTGACAGGGTTGAAGCGGTCAGGGTCTAATGCTACGTGTGGTTAGGGGTGCTAAGGAGTCTAGGGCGGCTGACAGCGAGTTGTTATAAGCTGTGGAGGCCAGGTCAGGGCAGGACAGTGGAAGGATACTGTCGTAAAGTCGGTCAGCTGCAGAGTGGAGAGGGGCAGGTTCAGGTTGTGGAGTTTACGGCTGGTGATGGTTTGACATTTGGGGGGGAGGTGTTTGAGGATGAGGAGATGAAGAACGTAATGAGGTTGTGGTCAGAGAGAGGGAAAGGGTGTTTGTGAAGTTGTGGGGGGTGCAGAGATGAGAGAAAACAAGGTCCAGGGTGTTCCCGTCAGAGTGGGTGGAAGATTTTGTACACTGTGTGAGAGAAAAAGAAGAGGTTAGGTGGAGGAGTTGGGATGAAGCAGGGTTATTGACGTTAATAGGGATGTTGAAGTCTCCAAGGATGATGGTGGGTAGCTCTGAGGAGAGGAAGAAGGGTAGCCAGGTGGAGAAATCGTCAAGTAAGCGGGATACGGGTCCAGGAGGCCGATAGATTACTGCAATCCTCAGAGGGGTTTGAGAGAATTGCCGGATGCAGTGGGCCTCAAAGGAGGAGAAGGATAGAGAGGGGGGGTTTGGGAGGACCTGGAAAGTGCTCAGCGGTGACAAGAGCATGCTGACCCCACGACCTCTACAACCGCTCGATCTGGGTGAATGGGTCCAGACGAGGCCTCCATAGGAGAGTGCCGCAGGGGAGGTAGAGTCAGTGGCTTGGACCCAGGTTGACCACTAGGAGGTTGAGGGAGCGGGAGATAAAGAGGTCATGGATGGCGGTGAGCTTGTTGCAAACCAATCGGGTGTTCAGGAGTGCACACGAGAATGGAGGGGTGGTTGTGGGGAGCAGGGGGACAGGTATTAGGTTGCGGCAATTTGTGGAAGTGGGAGGGTGCCTAGTGGGTGAGTGAGGTGGTGAGGGACCAGGGTTCGGGGGGATGTCCCCGACTGTTAGGAGAAGAAGAAGGGTGAGAAAGGTGGCATGGGAGCGGGATGTGCTAGAGTGTGTGAGTCTGCTAGTGGTGGCGTGTGGGTCAGTGGGAGAGTGGAGTAATAGGAGGAGGTGGCGAGAGCAGTAGTGGGGAGATGGAAGCAGTGAGGGTGCGATGTATGGTTGCTTTGGAGGAGTAGGGGGGTAGAGAGAGGAGATTTTGGGAATGGAGGAGAGGAGTATGAGGAGGAGGAGTACAGGTGGCATTTAAGGAGGGTAAACGGAGTGGAGGACAGGTGAGGGAGGTGAAAGGCTTCTCAGGGCGCATTGTTGCGGATAGTCCATCGTGCAATGGCGAATCACATTGAAGTAGCTTCTTGTAGCAGGAGTTCTAGTGATTAGGATCTGGGTGGATAGGGATCAGTTCGGTAAGTTGTAGGTTGCAAGTTCCAGTTTGCGTGAGTCCCAGGCTGGAAGGTTATGAGGGGGTCGTCAGGTGGGCTGCAGGTCAGGGTAGGGTTGATCATCTGATGGGCTTCAGGTCAGGGCTGGGTTGATCATCCAATGGGCACAGGAGGTCCAGGATGGTAGGCCTCACCGATTTAGGGCTGTTCTCCGGGGGTAGGGTCGCTCGCCAAGTCTACTTCGGGGGTGGATAGAGGGGCCTCGGGTCAGAGTCAGGCCGCATCTTGGTAGGCTGTGGCAGGTCTCGCTACTCATGGGGGTAGGCAGGAGGGCCTCAGGGCCGGGTCAGGCCACGAAGTGGAAGGCTGAGTCGGGTCTCGCAGGCCAGGTTCATCTGTGGGTTCAGGAGGAGAAGCAGATGGGGACTGCAGGCTCGCGGTTGCGGGGAGCGTGCCGTAGTGGGTCTTGACGATCTTTTAGACTGTAGGCTCACTGCTGGGTGGATTGCCAGAGGAGCGTGCAGGGGTAGGCCGCGGTAGGCCTCGCCAGGCCGGTTGCTGTAGTTACCTTGGAGGGGGGGGTCTGGGTGACACCGCTCCACCCTCCAGGTGCGGGTGAGGTTGGGGGGTCTTCACTGCTCACCTTGGTGCGGTGGGAGAGTGGTGGGTGGCTGGGTCTTCTGATGCAGGCCGCGGTCTTGGGTGGAGTAGGCTGCGGCTTGGTAGGGGTGGGCCGCGGCCAGCCCTGCTGGGATGGGCGCTGTAGTGGACTGCCAGAGGCTCGGGTGGGTTATCAGTATATGCCCCCTGCTGCTGTGGATCGATGGGCGGGTGGCTAGTCGCGGCAGGGCCTGGCGTCTGCAGGTGCTGTGGGCCGCTGTAGGTCGCGTGGCAGGCCCCGCTCCGCCAGAGTGGACGGAGCTCCGGGCTGTGCGGTGGCAGGGGCACGGAGGGCAGCTGTGCAGCACACGGCGGGGAGCAGGAAGCAGATCAGGAGGGAGCAGGAGGCAGGAGACTCCGGGTGCCGATCGCGGTGGCTTCCCCTCTCACAGGAGCGGTGGCCTCCCCTCTCACGGGAGCGGCGGCTTTCCCTCTCGCAGGAGCGGCGGCTTCCCCCTCCCACGGTGCATCCAGGGCCCAGGGAATTGGATGTGGCAGGCCGCGGCGGGCCCTGCTTTGTTAGATGCCGCTGCGGCGGCGAAGGAGATCCGGGCGGAGTTCCAGGCCACGGTGGATCCAGGTACAGGGAGGGTCGGGGGAGGTTGGGAAGGCCGCTGTGCGCCCGCTGTCCCCCCGGTGGGAGTGGGGTGGTGGACGGGAGTGTTGGGCAACCGGAGCTCAGGTCTATGCGGCCGCTCCGGTCGCCATCTTGAAAGCTTGATAAGACACGTGACATCATGTACCTCATTTTGTACATAAGCCATACACTATACTCATCTGTAAAAAAAAAAAAAAAATTACCCTTCTATTTGTCCTGGGGATTACTGGCACAGAGAGAAAATGAAGGTAAATCCTACATTTTACAGCTGTCTTGAGAGAAAAAGGTGAAATGAAATATTCCAATGGGGACAATGTTCTTTTGACATAATTATTTTATTATTTTTGACTTATAGCTCCAACAGTTTGCTCTGCTCTTTATTATATAAAAAGACAATACATTTACAATATGAGAGGCATTCAAGTCAAACCGGGACTTTGAAGTTACATAGTTACATAGTTAGTCTGGCTGAAAAAAGACAAAAGTCCATCCAGTTCAACCATTAAAAAAAAAAGTTATAATCCTATACCCACAGTTGATCCATAGGAAGGCAAAAATGGTTTTTTTGCACAATCCAATTTGCTACTGCAGGGAAAAAAAGTCCTTCCTGATCCCCCAGAGGCAATCGGATATTCCCTGGATCAACTTTACCTATAAATGTTAGTATCCTGTTATATTCTGTGTATCTAAGAAAGAATCCAGGACTTTTTTAAAGCAATCCCCTGAGCTGGCCAGAACCAACTCTTGAGGGAGTCTATTCCACATTTTCACAGCTCTCACTTTGAAGAAACCTTTCCGTGTTTGGAGATTCAATTTCTTCTCCTCCAGACGTAAAGAGTGCCCCCTTGTCCTCTGTGATGACCTCAGGGTGAATAGCTCTACCCCGAGTTCACTATATGAACCACTGATGTATTTATACATGTTGATCATATCGCCCCTTTATCTCCTCTTCTCAAGAGAGAAGAAATTCATTTCCTCTAATCTTTCCACACAGCTGAGCTCCTCCATGCCTCGTATCAGTTTGGTTGCCCTTCTGTGTACTTTCTCCAGTTCCCCAATGTTCTTTTTTATGAATTGGTGCCCAAAACTGAACTGCATATTCCAGATGAGGTCTTACTAATGATTTGTGCCGGGGTAATATGATATCTCTCTCTCTGGAGTCTATACCTCTTTTAATACAAGAGAGGATTTTGCTCGCTTTAGAAACCGCAGCTTGGCATTGCATGCCATTATTAAGCTTGTGATCTATCAGAACTCCCAGATCATTTCTCCACCATTGATTCCCCCTAGTAGTACTCCCCCTAGTATGTATGATGCATGCATATTCTTAGCCCCCAAGTGCAGAATCTTACATTTATCAACATTAAACCTCATTTGCCACATACTTGCCCAATTATACAGTGCATTGAGGTCGGCTTGTAAGTTGAAGACATCCTGTAAGGACGTTATTCCACTGCGCAGCTTGGTGTCATCCGCAAAGACTGAAATTGGATTTTTAATCCCAGGCCCTATATCATTTATAAATATATTAAAAAGTAAGGGTCCCAACACTGAACCTTGGGGTACACCACTGACACCCCTAGACCATTCAGAGTATGAATCATTAACCACTACTCTCTGAATACCATCTTTTATCCAGTTTTCTTCCATTTACATATGGATTTTTCCAAGCCTGTAGACTTTACCTTACACATTAGCCGTGTTTGGGAAACTGTGTCAAACTCTTTTGCAAAATCCATGTATACCACATCCACAGCCACCCCTCTGTCCAAGTATACTACGTCCACCGCCACCCCTCTGTCCAAGTATACCACATCCACCGCCACCCCTCTGTCCAAGTATACCACGTCCACCGCCACCCCTCTGTCCAAGTATACCACATCCATGCCACCCCTCTGTCCAAGTATACCACGTCCTCCCCCACCCCTCTGTCCACGTATACCATGTCCACCGCCACCCCTCTGTCCAAGTATACCACGACCACCAACACCCCTCTGTCCAAGGTTTTGCTCACCTCCTCATAAAAAGAAATTAGATTTGTATGACAACTTCTATCTTTCATGAATCCATGCTGTCTGTTGCTTAAAATATTTTTTTCCAGCAAGAACTCATCTATGTGGTCCTTTATTAAACTTTCCAGTTTCTACTCAACTATAGAAGTTAAACTAATAGGTCTATAATTACTTGGTATAGATTTTGATCCCTTTTTAAAATATTGGCACCAACGTTGGCCTTTGAAATGACAGAACTCAATTCTTTAAGGACCTGTTGGTGTATGCCATCCGGTCCAGGATCTATATTCACCTTTATTCTGTCTAAATATTTCTAGACCATATCAGTTGTGAGCCAATGTGGCTCATATGGAGCTGTGTCAATACCATGCCCATTATGGACAAAAGCTCCCCCATGCTCCTTTGTATACACAGAGCTGAAGAAGGTATTTAATAAATTTGCCTTCTCTTTGTCCCCACTCACCCACTCTAGATTATTTTGTAAAGGGCCTACATGCTCGGACCGAACCTTTTTTCTATTAACCACTTCCTGTCCGGACACTTTTACCCCCTTCCTGTCCAGGGCAATTTTTAGCTTTCAGCGCTATCACACTTTGAATGACAATTGCGCGGTCATGCAACACTGTACCCATATGAATTTTTTACCATTTTTTTGAGACAGATAAAGCTTTATTTTGGTGGTATTTATTCACCGCTGGGATTTTTATTTTTTTTATGAAATGAAAAATAATGAAAAAGTTCAAAAATTTTGAAAAAAAAAGTGTTTTTTTAAATAAAATTTTGCAAATAAATAATATTTCATCATAAATCTTAGCCAAAATTTATTCCGTTATTTTTTTAGTAAAAAAAAAAAAATCCAAATTAGTTTATAACCAAAATTTATAATTTTTAAACATTTTTTTTTTACATTTTATTGTATTTTTTTTATATTATTATTATTTTTTTTTTTTTTTACATACTGTCACCCTAGCAGTACACTGTCACCATGGTGACACTGTACTACTTGTGGAGGGTGATGAAGATTTTTTTTTTTTTTTTTTACACTGATTGCTTTTACACCCATATAGGATGTAAAAGCAATCATTTCTCTTTCTCTCTGTCTGCATTCCTGCAGTCATTGAGAATTACTGAGTGAGCTGTGAGTGGTCACAGCTTGTCACATGGTACAAGGCTGTTGTGAATAGCCTTGTACCATGTGACCTCTGTGATCATTCACAGATTTCACACATAGTAAGCAATGATGTCACAAGTGACATCTTGCTTACTACTTTGCATGTGATCACTGATTCGCCAATCAGTGATCACATGATCGTGACCTCGTACAGAGGTCCCATCCGACGATCGGTGTTTCACTGTGTCCGGAGGACACAGCGGGCACCGGATCGCGGTGGTGCGCGCTCCCAGGGAGCGCGCACAGCTAGAAAAGGCGGGTGCCGTTTATGGACGGCATCCCGACCCTGGACTGCCACCCCCGCCCTGCCGTTTATAAACAGCAGGCGGACGGCAAGAGGTTAATATATTTGAAGAATTTTTGGGGGTTTGTCCTGCTATCTTTTGCAATCTGTTGTTCATTTTCAATTTTTAATTTCCCTTTTACATATTCTATTATAGTCTTTGTAATGTTTAAATGATGATAGCGTTCCTTCATTTTTACATTTAATAAAAGCTCTTTTCTTATTATTTATAGCTTTTTTAACTTTGTCCGTAAGCCACATAGGTTTGATTTTTAGCCTTTTAAACTTGTTGCCCATGGGAATATATTTGCAGTGTGTTCACATACAGTCTTTTTGAAGAACTCCCATTTCTGTGTTGTGTTCATCAATGCCAAAATTCCCTCCCAGTCTTGGGGAGCAGCTCTCAGCCTTGGAAAATTAGCTCTCTTAAAGTTGAGTGTTTTTATTTTTCCCGTGTGTGCTTGTTGTTTTTAGCTAACAATAAATTAAATCATGATATGGTCACTGCTACCCAGATGTTCTTTTATATGGACATAAGCTCTGCATGGTTTGACCAGGTCCAGCAGAGCATCATTCCTAGTTGGGGCCACTATGGATTGTACCATAAAATTGTCTTGTAATAGGTTTATACATTTTTGCCCTTTACTGTTCCTGCAGTGCCATTACTCTGTTCAATGTTTGGGTAGTTAAAATTCACCATTATTATCACTGTTCCAGCCCTTGCAACCCTTTCGATCTGTGCAAGGAACTGAGTCTCCACCTCCTCATTAACAGTGGGTGGCCTATAATGAACTCCAATGATTACCTTTGTAGTACTAACCCTATGTGCAGTTCCACCCATAATGCTTTAGCCTCATCACACTCTCCATCAACTATTTACTCTCCATTTCCTATTTACACTGTGATCTGCTGTGATTAGACACAGCCGATCACATGGTAAAAGACGACTCTGGTTGGCCCTTTACCTGGACACGTGATCAGATGCATCTGAAGGATGTGATGGGGTGTGGTTCTGGGAGGACGTCCATGGACACCCTTCCAGAACTAGCCGACCACACTGTGGTTGTCTTTAGGCTATAGCACATTCGGGAACTGGTTAACAAAAAAAAATAATACATGTTGACCAAAAATACATGAAACAGTATCTTACAGCCAACATCACAGATGCAATAGTCAGGTAGACAAACATTCACCATACCTGCACACTACACTAGTGGTAAATGCTGCTCTTGTAAATATATTGTTGTAGCATGCAATCCATGGGACTGTCAGTGAACAGACCTCAAATAAAGTTGTTCTGAAGGAGTGACATGATTAGTAGAGATGAGCGAATTGAAGTAGGCGAAGTGGAATTCGAGTCGAATATTGGAAAATTTTCGATTCGCGCCGAATCCGAAAAATAGCCTACTTCGGACGCGCGAATCGAAATTTTTCCTAAAATGGCGGCGGACATGTGCGGCGACGGAGCGGGGATGTCTGGGAAGGCGCGCAGACAAGGCGCGCTGACCCATAATGCATTCCTTAATGACATGTGATCGCATTAGCCAATCAGCAGCGCCAGCCAGCCAGCCACTGTGTAATGGTCGAGCTATAAATAGCGG